ATTTCCGGATATTTTGAAGCTCGCAAAAAAACCCCGTTCTTTTTCCAGTTTTTTTCGGGGGGAAACGGAAATTTTCGGAAAAATTGAAAAAAATGCTACATTAGCACTTCTTTTGTCTTTTCTAGATTGAAAGTCATTCTGTTACTTTAGGGACATAAAATATGACTATGGACATTTTTACTTGGCATGAAATTATCACAACTAGCATATTAAAAATATAGTGTTTCCAAACCATTATTACAAACAGAATACCCGCCCACATGCAAAAACAAAACTGAAACCTTTTTCTTTTCTCTTGACAATCGCACCTCCTAAAGGAAGAAATGCATCTTGTTCTTGCATTGGAGAGTTCAGTTTGTGACCTAGGACTTTCTTGTCCTCAGTGGACAGAAATTAGATCAATCTGATACCATACGTATTTTTTAGAAAAGATTTGGAAAATATTTGAACACCTTGTCTTAAAATATTTTATTCATTGTGTTAAAATAAAACGTTCCATAATCAATTTTTTTTCTTTCCTTTTCTTTTTTCAATTTTTCCAATTTTTCGGGAAAAAATAAAAAAGGCTTCAGGGAAAAAAACGTTTTTTTTCCTAATTTTTCCGGGTTTTTTCCAGGCCTTCACATCTCTAGTTCAGACCCACCCCATTAGCCTAGACTTGACGTTGGGATTTTTTGTTCTTCGAAACGGAGTTCTTAATATCCAGATTCTTCATTTATCATTCTACTTTAATATTGTGCTTCTATGGTTGTATTTGTATTAATACTTTGGTCATTATTGAACTGACTGCGGTGGCTCTAGTGGTTAAGACGGTGAACTGCAGGCTGCGGAAGGTCAGTAGTTCAGCAGTTCGAGACCCGGGTGCCGCATAACGGAGTGAGCGCCCGTCTCTAGTTCCAGCTCCTGCCAACCTAGCAGTTCGAAAGCAAGAAATTGCAAGTAGATAAATAGGTACCACTTCGGTGGGAAGGGAACAGCGTTCCGTGCGCCTTGGCGTTTAGTCATGCCGGCCACATGACCACGGAAACGTCTTCGGACAGCGCTGGCTCTTTGGCTTGGAAACGGAGATGAGCACCGCAACCCTAGAGTCGGACTCGACTGACTTTCGAGCAAGGGAAACCTTTACCTTTAACAAACCGTAACCCGCAGCAGGGGCAATGCAGCTTCTGGCTAAATGAAGTGGCTTGCATCGGATTGGTCTCGTGGCACCCCCCGGAGAGCTGTGGTTCATGGAGCTGTTGCTAGGCCCTCGGGACCCAGTTGAGGCTTTTGCGTCACCTTCAAGGGCAGCCCCACGTGACATGCATTACAGTAGTCAATCCCCGAGGTTCGTTCCCATGCTGGCGGTGCGGCTTTCCTGAGGCTGAAACAGCTTCCGCCCGGGAGAGTCCTCCTCCTTTCCCGCTTCCCCATCCCTCTCTGAGAAACAAGGTTTCCTCCCAAGATTCCCGATGGAATCCAGCAGATGGCAGCAACGTCCCACCAGCGGCTGCCCGGCGATGCGGCTCCGTTTAGTAGGGAGCAGGTTTTTCTGCAGTACAGTGGGGCAGATGAGCGATGGTCGGTGGGCTTGATCCAGAGTTCGGGAGAAATAGTTTTGCATTTTGCACTCAGTAACGTTGGTCAGCAAACAGCTGTGTAGGCGCTGCGCCTGGAAAGGTCTTTCCTTCTCCCTTATTGCTGAATTGGAGGGAAAAGGGAAGGGGGTGTCCAGGGGGGGAAGTCCCACCTCCCCCCTTCCTTCTCTGGGCCTGCAGCCTTCCCCCTCCACAGCTGTCTGGGGTTCCCAGCTTTGTGGAAAGAGGACGGGAGGGACAGAGCCATTGTCGTGTTTATATCAAGATGGGTAGCCGTGTTAGTCTGTCTGTAGCCAGAGAAAAGAGCAAGAGTCCAGCAGCACCTTAAGGACTATCCAAATTTGTGGCAAGGCAGGAGCTTTCAGGAGTTAATGCTTACTTCTTCAGATACAGCTAGAATGGGAGTCCGTCTGTCCTTATATCTTGGAGAGTGGAGTGATTTCAGGTGCCGAATGACAATAGCAGGCAAATGAGACTAGTAGGTGTGATTGGATTTGGTGCGACGTGCAGAGGGGCGGTAGGCATGGAGAAAGCAGCGAACAGGAAACCTAGGTCTCGATTCAGCCCAGGAGGATGCATTGTCTTGAGCTTCGTTATCAGTTGCAGGTCAGCAGTCTCTCTGTCTAATCGCCCTTCGAAATCCCTTTGTAGGAGAACGGTTTGTGTGTATGTGTCTGTTTTTATGTTACTTTTGCCAACCCGTTTCCAGACACGTATATGGGAAGGAAGAATAATTATTTGGGGGTGGGGGGTGCAGCCTCCCCGGTGGGCATATTTGGCAGATGGTCTGGCCGCCGCTAAGCCCCTGCACTGCCACCAACGCTTCACCCCAAATGGATACATCACAAAATTGCTTTTTTGTGTTTGCCGTCAAGTCACCGCCGACGTATGGCAGCCCCGTGGTGTTTGCAAGGCACGAAACTTTTGGACGCTTCTGCAGAGCAACCTTGGACTTCCTCGGCCGTCTCCCCTCCAAGCGCTAACCGGGACCGACCCTGCTTAGCGTCCGAGGTCTGACTTATCGCAAATACAGTTATGACTTATCTTTCTCATAAACCGGTATTTTTTCCTAAAAATTCTCAGTCACGCATCTCAGTTGGCCAGAACTAAAATGGAGGCTCGGGAAGGACGAGGCGCCCTTTCCGGCTGTGTTAATCCGCCTCGGAAAAAGCAGGGGTGGCTTTGAGGTTTGAGCCCAACCCATAAACATGAGTCTGGAGCCTACAAATCGATTGGGCAGGAGTGGATTAATGTACCGGGTAGAGAGAGGGGGCGTTCTGCATTAACCTGTGGTGTGTTAAATTGTATTCCCCGTCTCGGATGTGCTACCCGAGAGGTTTTACGGCGGACGGTCATGGCCGGCCTCGAGCTTAATAAAAAAACCGAAGGGGAAAAATGCCCTAAATCACCAACAGAAGGTGGAAGAGGGGGAAATGTTAGCTTAAGCTCGGTTCCTCGGAGAGAGAGGAGACGAGATCGCTTTCTGTCCGCAACCCGGCGGCGTAGAACGGGAGCGGGCTTCGCTCGCGGCAGGTGGAATAATCTTTCTTCCTCGTCTCTCGGGTAGACGAGATGGACCTTTTCCCTTACAATCCCGGCAGGCCTCGCCTTTCCCAAATCCTCCCACCCCCCGCCGCCCATTCAGCCTCCGATTTGTCATCCTCTCCCCGGGCTTGCTGTGTCTGTTAGTCAGCTTTGGATAATAAGAGCTGCCAGTTCGCGTTCCCCGTCTGCCAGGAGTCCTTCTGCGGCTTGCTGATTAACTGGAAATGCGGAGCAGTGAGCGAGGAGGATTGCGCTGTTGTATTCCCCCCCCGCCCCCCATCTTTCGGGTCTCTCCTGTGTCCCCACCGCAAATTCAAGGGAGAGCCCGTTTGGTGTTGTGGTTAGGAGCGCGGACTCTTAAACCTGGGAGAACCAGGTTTGATTTTCCACTCTTCCCCATGCAGCAGCCGGTGCAACCTTGGGTCAGTCATAAGTTCTCTCGGAGCTGTTCTCTCAAGGGCAGTCCTCGAGAGAGCTCTCTCAGTCCCGCCTCCCTCACAGGGTGTCTGTTGTGGGGAGGGGGAGGGAAAGGAGATTGTGAGCTGCTCTGAGACTACGAGGGAAAGGAGGGGTATAAATCCAATCTCCTCTTCCTCCTCTTCTTCTTCCTTTTCTTCTTCTTCCTTTTCCTACTTTCCTCTAGCTTTTAAGCAGCAGAGAGCCTGCAGAAAGTATCTCAGGCCGCTGAGAAGTAAAGCCACCGAAATATCAAAGTGGTTATGCGAAGTCAGACCCCAGAGCTGACAATGCATTTATTTGATTTTCGGAAATTCGCTTTCCCCCTCCACTCGGATTCCAAGTGGCTTTTAGAACATCACTCTCCTCTCTTACAGTTCCCCACAGCAACCCTGTGAGGTAGGCCATGCCCAGAGTTCGTGACTGGCCCGTGGCCGCCCAGTGAGCTTCCATGGTAGAGGTGGGGATTCGAACCCCAGGCTGCCCAGAGTCCTAGCCTGCCACTCGATCCGCTACACCACACTGGCTTTCTGGACAGCCAGATGCCTCCAGGATACAGTGGCCGAATCGTACTCCTGTAGTTGTCCCCTCAGGTACTGCTATTCAGAGGGCTACTGCCTCTAAAAATGGAGGTTCCGTTTAATTGCCATGGATAATTACCCCGATGGGCCTATCCTTCACGGATTTGCCTAATCCCTTTTCAAAGCTGCCACAGTTAGGCCCACAAATTAATTCCTCTAGGCGTGAAGAAGGATCCGGGTGTTTTGAACGCAATTGTTCCGTCCGTCAGTCTTCCCAGAATCCTCTGGTGCCTCGCAGTTCCCCGCCCCATTTCCGTAGCTCGCAACGCTGCTGAGACTCCTCCTTAACCTTGTGCAGTTCTGCAGGCCTGCAAGATGGAGCTCTTCCGCCAGGCTTATGAGTAGGAGCCGCCACGGCCACTTACACCACCGCTCCTTATAGAGAGAGGCCTGGAGGCCTCCGTAAGAGTGGCGGGGAGACGCTGGGTTTGAAAGTGGTCTGCGTCTCCCGTAGGAAAGCCGGTTTCATAGTATTTAGCCTCTTATTAAAGTGACCTTGGAAAGGGCACCACCCTTACTAACGTTTGTTGCTGGTGTGTAAATAACCGGATGGGGGTTGGATAGGCAAATTCTTTATCAGTTTTTTTTTAATGTATGCATAATCGCCTGGAGATGGCTCTGTAATCATCATAGGCGAGCACCCTGTTGACAGAAGTCAGTGACTCTTCGAGAGTCAGTTTGGTGTAGTGGTTAAGAGCGGCGGACTCTAATCTGGGAGGGCCGGGTTTGATTCCCCACTCCTTCACATGCAGCTGCTGGTGTGACCTTGGGTCAGTCGCAAGTTCTCTCTGAGCTGTTCTTTCAAGCACAATCCTCGAGAGAGCTCTCTCAGCCCCACCTACCTCACAGGGTGTCTGCTGTGGGCAGGGGAAGTAGACTGTAAAACGCTCTGAGACTCCCAAGTGAAGGGCAGGGTATAAATCCAATCTCCTCCTACTCTTCTTCTCCCCTCCACCCCCCAACAGGTCCAGAGATGACAATTCAGTTTCTATACATAATTACCGTGCTTTTCTCTGTATGTTTATCCACATGGAGAGAGCCAGTGTCGCACAGTGGTTGGAGTGTCTGACAAGAAACTGGGGGACCCAGTTTCGAATCCCCACTTTGCTGTGGAAGGTTGGCTGGGTGACATTGGGACAGTCATATCCTCTCAGCCTGACCTACCTCACAGGGTTGTTGTGAGGCTAAAATGGAGGAGGAAAGGAGAACGGTGTAACATGCTCTGGGTGCCCATTGGGGAGAAAAGGTGAGGTATTTAAATTAAAAATAAAACTGATATTTCTGTTAACAATTTCATTATGTGGGGAGGGGGGCCGTGTCTCCATGGTAGAGCATCTGCTTGGCATGCAGAAGGTCCCTGGTTCAATCCCTGGCCTCTCCAGTTAAAAGGACCAGGTAGGAGGTGATGGGAAAGACCTCCGCCTGAGGCCCTGGAGAGCCATGAAGTGGGGCTGTAGCTCAGTGGCAGAGCCTCTGCTTGGCATGCGGAAGGTCCCAGGTTCGATCCCCGGCATCTCCAGTTAGAAGGACCAGGCAGGAGGGGATGGGAAAAGACCTCCGCCTGAGACCCTGGAGGGCCATGAAGTGGGGCCGTAGCTCAGTGGCGGAGCTTCTGCTCGGCATGCGGAAGGTCCCAGGTTCGATCCCCGGCATCTCCAATTAGAAGGCCCAGGCAGGAGGGTATTTGCTAGGCGGCCAGTCTGAGTAGACGATTCTGACCTTGGTGGACCGATAGTCTGATTCAGTATACGGCAGCTCAGTGTGTACTTCTGCATTGTGGGATGGAAGTGGCAGAATTTTCCTTGTACAGTTTGGGGGAATCCCTCTGGCTTTTCTAGGGGAAGAAGTCGCTTACCGTAAGGCCGACACACTGTCGTTTTCCCCAGTTTTGTAGCAGAATGCGGCATTCTGTGCACCGCTGCTAACGAGGAGGCCGGGGAGCTGATTTCCCTCCACCATCCCGTATTTGTACATTGTTCTATTTACTAACCTGTTCTTAGGTGGTTTTAATGTTGGTTTTAATTTAAGGAACACTGTATATTAATTTGTTGTCAGCTGAGAACAGGCCCATCTAGCTTCGTCCCCCCAAGGGGTGTCCTTTTTTTCCTTAACGCCCCCCCCCCATCCCACAGCTGCTGTCTACCTCCTTGAATGCGACTTGCGTGGGCCTAATGGATGCGGGCCTTCCCCTGAATTCCTTGTTCTCCGGCGTGACGTGCGCCTTGGACGCAGACGGTAATCTCACCCTGGACCCCACGGCCAAGCAAGAGAAGGTGGGTGCCTTGATTTACTCGGGGAAGGGAGTGTGTGGCACTGGCCTTTCTGGTGTCGGGGAGTTCCAGCCTCTGCTTGGCATGCAGAAGGTCCCAGGTTCAGTCCCCAGCATCTCCAGTTAAAAGGACCAGGCAGGAGGGGATGGGAAAGACCTCCGCCTGAGGCCCTGGAGAGCCATGAAGTGGGGCTGTAGCTCAGTGGCAGAGCCTCTGCTTGGCATGCAGAAGGTCCCAGGTTCAGTCCCCAGCATCTCCAGTTAAAAGGACCAGGCAGGAGGGGATGGGAAAGACCTCCGCCTGAGGCCCTGGAGAGCCATGAAGTGGGGCTGTAGCTCAGTGGCAGAGCCTCTGCTTGGCATGCAGAAGGTCCTAGGTTCGATCCCTGGCCTTTCCAGTTAAAACGACCAGGCAGGAGGGGATGGGAAACACCTCCACCTGAGACCCTGCAGAGCCATGAAGTGGGACTGTAGCTCAGTGGAAGAGCCTCTGGTTGGTGTGCAGAAGGCTCCAGGTTTGATCCCCGGCATCTCCAGTTAAAAGGACTAGGCAGGAGGGGATGGCCTGAGACCCTGGAGGGCCATGAAGTGGGGCCGTAGCTCGGTGGCAGAGTGTCTGTTTAGAATGCAGAAGGTCCCAGGTTCGATCCCCGGCATCTCCAGTTAGAAGGACCAGGCAGGAGGGTATTTGCTAGGTGGCCAGTCTGAGTAGACGATTCTGACCTTGATGGACCCGATGGTCTGATTCCGTATACGGCAGCTCAGTGTGTACTTCTATATTGTGGGATGGAAATGGCAGAATTTTCCTTGTACAGTTTGGGGGAATCTCTCTGGCTTTTCTAGAGGAAGAAGTCGCTTACCGTAAGGCCGATACGTTGCCGTTTCTCCCAGTTTTGTACCAGAATGCAGCATTCTGCGCACCACCGCTAACAAGGAGGCCGGGGAGCTGATTTCCCTCCGCCATCCTGTATCTGTATATTGTTCTATTTACTGACCTGTTCTTAGGTGGTTTGAATGTTGGTTTTAATTTAAGGAATTTATTTTGTTTATATTATTTTGTTGCATATTATTTTGTTGTCAGCTGAGAACAGGCCCATCTAGCTTCGTCCCCCCAAGGGGTGTCCTTTTTTTCCTTAACGCCCCCCCTAACCACATACTGACTGAACTAAAGCACTCCAAAAAGAAAAACCACACTAGTTCAATAGGCATTAAAATAAGAGTATCGAGCTGCTAGTTTGATTTATAAGAGCCATAGTAAAAAATTCCCTAACAAAACCAGAAATGTAAGGCAAATGTAAGGCACTTACTCAGTCATTAGCAGAGGCATAATCCATTTAAGTGAAGACCATTCTATGAAAATTATCTCCCTATATTTATACGGCAGTAATCTGTCCAGACTATCTCTTTTCTCCATGATAGCCATCATTTGAGTACTCATTTACTGGGGGTCAGACAATACCATCAACAAGCTGCTGCAATCAAGTTTTTCTGTACTCTTATCTCAGCTTTTCTTGGAAATGGTTTGTTATGATTTTATTTATCTCTGAATAGGATTGCAGTGTGAGCCTTTTAGTGTGGAATGCCAGAGAGCTATTTATGTGCAAGGAGAAGAGTACAGGTGTGTGATATTGGTTGATCTTGGGTTTTATTTACTTAATTAATTTATAGCCCACCTTTCTCACTGGGGCAAAAGGCTGGTTACAAAATATACCAAAAATTCAGTCTGACAGCAAAGACATGCAATAAACAATGCAGTATGACTAAAATTACAGAACTGGAGAACCATGCGAACAAAAACTGTCTAAGGCATGACATACCATTATGTAGAAACTGGCTGAACGGCTATTTTAAATTGTCCTGCAACACAGCCTTTTCGGCAGAAACCCAGTTACAAGAAGGGGAGGGGCTGTAAGCAGGAAGAAGAAGAAGAAGAGGAGATTGGATTTATACCCCGCCCTTCACTACCTGAAGGAGTCTCAAAGTGGTTTACAATCTCCTTTCCTTTTTCACAACAGACAGGTGGGTCTGAGAGAGCTCTTTTGAGAACTGTCCTGAGAGAACTTGTGACTGACCCAAGGTCACACCAGTTGGCTCCGTGTGGAGGAGTGGGGAATCAAACCCAGTTTTCCCACATTAGAGTCCGCGCTCTTAACGACGACACCAAAGTGGTGGGGTAGATTTGAAACAGAGAACCCAGGGTAACTAGGCTCCTCTTCTCTGGCCCGGGTGGGCGTGGAACTGACAGTTCTGTCTAGCCGAGGGGTCCCCAGCCTTTGTGAGCCTGTGGGCATCTTTGGAATTCTGACACGGGGTGGTGGGCCCAGTCACAAAATGGCCGCCACAGGCCCAGTCACAAAAATCCGGGCCCACTTTCCAAATCTGTGCCCCTGCGTCCCTCAGTTGCTGTGTAGAAGGCGGAAATTTGGCAGGGGCTACTTGTTGACGATCTACCAGTTTGGTGTAGTGGTTAGGAGCGTGGACTCTAATCCGGAAGGACCTGGTTTGATTCCCCACTCCTCCACATGCAACTGCTGGTGTGACCTTGGGTCAGTCACAAGTTCTTTTAGAACTGTTCTCTCACGTGCAGTCCTCGAAAGAGCTCTCTCAGCCCCACCTACCTCCAATGTTCCCTCTAAGCTATAGAATCTTGTGAGCAAAAATTCTACTTTGTGAGCCACTTTGTGGCATGAAAGTTGTGACCGAGCGATTTGGCTCCTGCATCAATTAGTTTGTTCTGGATCCATCCTTTCTGAGCTGAGACAAAAATGTGTGAGCCAGAGGCTAAAAAACTGTGAGCTAGCTCACACTAACTCAGCTTAGAGGGAACACGGGAACACTGCCTGCCTCACAGGGTGTCTGTTGTGGGGAAGGGAAGGGAAAGAAGATTGTCAGCCACTCTGAGACGCATTCGGGTGGTGAAGGGCAGGGTATAAATCCAATTTCCTCCTCTTCTTCCTCCATATGCAGCTGCTGGTGTGACCTTGGGTCAGTAGCAAGTTCTTTTAGAGCTGTTCTCTCACGAGCAGTCCTCGAAAGAGCTCTCTCAGCCCCGCCTATCTCACAGGGTGTCTGTTGTGGGAAAGGGAAGGGAAAGAAGATTGTAAGCCACTCTGAGACGCCTTCGGGTGGTGAAGGGCAGAGTATAAATCCAAGCTCTTCTTCTCTACCATAGTGTCTAGAGGCAGGTTTTGCTTGCTGCAAGACTGGCTGTGTCTGGTCTGGTGGGGAACGATAGGGAGGTGGGGGGGGGGTCAGCGGCAGTGTTCCCTCTAAGCTGAGTTAGCGTGAGCTAGCTCACAGTTCTTTAGCCTCCGGCTCACAGAGCAAACTAATTTATGCAGTAGGCAAATCGCTCGCTCACAACTTTAATGCCAGTAGCGTACAAAGTAGGATTTTTGCTCACAAGGCTCCACAGCTTAGAGGGAGCATTGGTCAGTGGCTCAAGTCCTCGGACCTAACCAGGCTGTCTCCGGTTGAGGGGAAAGACGTTTCCAACAGAGGTGCCACAGTTGGGTCAGTTGCTTCCGTTGAGGGGTTTCATTGTCCCCGCCCCTCATACCTTTCTCAAAAAATAGCCCCTCTGGGAGAATTTGTTGCTGATCGGAGGCCAGATTATTCGGAGAAAGTTACGGGAGCGAACGTTCGCTTCGATTCCTGTCTCTAGCTTTGTGCCGTGACTGGGAAAGAGGGTCTTGAGTCTTTGCCTTGAAGGGCGGCTGGGAAGGGGTGCTTTGGCCTTTGTGGGGTCTGTTGGCCCTAGGGGTTGCCAGCCTACAGGTGGGGCCTGGGGAATCTCCCACTTTTACAACTGATCTCCAGCTGACAGAGATCAGCTCCCCTGGGGAAAATGGCTGCCTTGAAGGGCGGGCTTTGTGGCCTTGTTCCATGCGGAGGCCCCTCCCCAAACCCCACCCTCTCCTGGATCCACCCCCCCAAAGCCTCCTGGTGTTTTCCAACACGGACCTGGCAACCCTAATTTGCCCTTTTTCCCCGTTGTGCAAAGTCTTCCGTTCCTCCCCCCCCCCCCTTAGTAATCTAGTAATCTCAAGGTTGCTTCTGCGCCAGGTGCAGTGAAAGGATTGTGACCCAATCGTGGTTCCTTTATCGGCTCTGTCAGGTAATTGCTTCCAGTGGCCTCGGCAGGTCAATAGCTCCCCGTCTCCCTGGCCGCCGGAACCCCTCCGCCCTTGTAATGGCTCTGCTCGTTTATCGGTTGCCAGATTCAATCTATTGCAAACGGCCTTCCCTACCCAGAACGGTGCTTTATCAACTGCAGTTTTGCTCTCCACCTTCCTCTCCCTCCCTCTCTTGCTCCGCCTCTCTGTAGGCAGCAAACAGCCCTGTCTCTCTCCTTGCAAGCTTTCCCCAGTAAGAAAGGGGGAACCCTAATTCTTTGGAGGGCTGCTGGACCAGAAGTCCCCAACACGGTGCCTACAGGCAGCATGAAACCTGCCGACATCTTTTCGGGCACCTGCTAGGGGTTTTTTTAGGCAGTGGGTGGGGCCAGGAATGGCCCCACTAGAGATGTAAAATTTCCGGAAATTTTGAAGCTCGGAAAAAAACCCGTTTTTTTTTCGGGGGGAAACGGAAATTTTCGGAAAAATTGAAAAAAATGCTACATTAGCATTTCTTTTGTCTTTTCTAGATTGAAAGTCATTCTGTTACTTTAGGAACATAAAATATGACTATGGACATTTTTATTTGGCATGAAATTATCACAGCTAGCATATTAAAAATATAGTGTATCCAAACAATTATTACAAACAGAATACCCACCCACATGCAAAAACAAAACTGAAACCTTTTTATTTTCTTCTGACAATAGCACCTTCTAAAGGAAGAAATGCATCTTGTTCTTGCATTGGAGAGTTCAGTTTGTAACTAGGACTTGCTTGTCCTCAGTGCACAGAAATTAGATCAATCTGATACCATGTATATATATTTTAGAAATGATTTGGAAAATATTTGAACACCTTGTCTTAAAATATTTTATTCATCATGTTAAAATAAAACGTTCCATAATCATTTTTTTCTTTTCTTTTTTCAATTTTTCGGAAAAAACCAAAAAATTTCAGGGAAAAAACGGAAAAAAACCAGTTTTTTCCGAATTTTTCCGTTTTTTTTCCGGGCCTTCACATCTCTAGGCCCCACCCACTGCCTGTCTGTTGGAGATTTGATTGGCTGTGCAGATTTTTAAAAATGTCCTTTGTCCGCAGCTGCCGCTATAGCAGAAAGATCTACATACACTGTGTTACTGAAGTTAAACCGCGGCAGCCATTTTGTAGCTGGCCCCCCCCTTCCTGCGGCAGCCATTTTGTAGCTGGCCTCGCCTCCGGCGGCAGCCATTTTGTGATAGCTGCTTTGTTGCTGCGTCCACTGCGCTGTGTCAGAATTCCAAACGTGCCCACCGGCTCAAAAAGGTTGGGGGTTTCCTTGCGCTAGATGTGCAAGGTGAAACGCAGTCGCTCGGAACCGGCAGATTATTTCCGTGGGCGGAAGGTGCAGCTTTCTCTTCTCTCCTTTCCTGATTATTCCCAAAATGTCCTGGGCGGCGAGACAAAAAACGTCTAGATCCGATCCTCCCTTTTGGAATAAAGTCCCTTGTAAAAGTCTTCGCCGGTTCTGAAGGACACTGTACCTTCTCCCGTTCCTGGGGACCCTGAGCCCACGCTTTAGTGAATTAAGGACATGAGTAGCGTTTTTCTGCATCGTTACTCATTTGAGTATTTTTAAATTCAATTTAGCGGCCATCTGTCTGTCGAGTAACTAAAGAGTAGCTTCATTGTGCGGGGAGCTGCCCGAGAGGTATGGAACTGGCAAGGCAAACCAGGCGCAAGCAGAGCATAATGAATAACTCCTGTTGCGTTCCAGATATCTATGTCAGGGCGATAACGTTGCCTGTCAAATAATAATAAAATAAAATTCTCCTAATTCTCCATTTGTGGAGTGTCTTTTTCTCTCCAAGCATAACTGGGGGGGAATCATTTTTTCCCATATGTGGAGTGTCTGTTTTCCCCCCAATCAGTTTAGTGCTGCCCAGGAACAGGGTCTCTTTCCCCTTCCACAGTCTCACGGGCTCTGGCTTTAATATCCTGCATTAATTCAGCCTCTAAGAGCTAAGGGTGGCTCATGTGGTTAAGACGCTGAACTGCAGGCTGTGGAAGGTCAGTAGTTCAGCAGTTCGAGACCCGGGTGCCGCATAACGGAGTGAGCTCCCGTCTCTAGTTCCAGCTCCTGCCCACCTAGCAGTTCGAAAGCAAGAAATTGCAAGTCGATAAATAGGTACCCCTTTGGTGGGAAGGGAACAGCGTTCCGTGCACCTTGGTGTTTAGTCATGCAGGCCACATGACCACGGGAACGTCTTCGGACAGCGCTGGCTCTTCAGCTTGGAAACGGAGATGAGCACCGCAACCCTAGAGTCGGATTCGACTGGCTTTCGAGCAAGGAAACCTTTACCTTTTACCTTTAAGAGCCTGAATCCGTATTCAGTTACGAATGAGGACCGTGGTGGCACCCCAGTTTACCCAGGAGGCTGACTTTGATTTTGTTGAAAGAGGAAAAAAATCAATGTCTGGGTCGCCAGCGTTGTGTGCAGCAAGAGGGCCAGCAGTGATCTTAGCCGCACAAGTTTTGTGTGGCCTCTCCGTAGGTGTCAAATGCTGTCAGGTCGCTTTTGACTTACGGTGACCCTATGAATTAACATTCTGCCAAAAAAAGTCCTATTGTTAGCAGCCGTTCCCTGGTTGCCAATGCAGGGCCGTAACTTCTTTTAGTGAGTCAATCCATCTCATGGTTGGGTATTTCTCTTTGGTGTCGTGGTTAAGTGCGCGGACTCTAATCTGGGAGAACCGGGTTTGATTCCCCACTCCTCCACTTGCACCTGCTGGATGACCTTGGGCAAGCCGTAGTTCTGATAAGAGCTATCCTTGAAAAAGAGCAGTTTCTGTCAGGTGTCTCAGTCCCACCTGCCTCACAGGGTGTCTGTTGTGGGGAGGGGAAGGGAAAGGAGATTGTAAGCCGCTCTGAGACTCCTTCCGGTAGTGAAGGGCGGGGTATAAATCCAATCTCTTCTTCTTCCTAGCATTATCGTTTTGTTCCCAGTAACTCTGGTCTTATAATGTGACGAAAGTACAATAACCTCAGTTTATCCATTTTAGCTTCTAGGGAAACCTCTGAAGGGGCCCTTTGTTGGCACTGAGGACCTAGCACAGGGGTCTCCAACACGGTGCCCACACACACACCTTGGTGAATACCAAGTGTCTTTAGAAAGTGGGCAGGACCAGGGTGGGCTTTTGGCCCAGCAGGGCTTCTGATTGGCCACTGGAGAGCTTGACGGGTTGTGCAGATTTTTAAAAAATTGCTTTGGCAGCAGCTGCCGCCTCGGCACACGGATCTTCACTGGGTGACTGAACATAAACTCTGTGTTCGAATGCAAGAAAATATTTTCAAACAATGCATTCATTTAAAAAGGTGCCTTGTTAAGAAATGCTTTGGCCGGAAATGTTGATGAATTGCTATTACAGTTACGCATGATACTTTGTGGTTGGCTCCACCTCCACGGCAGCCATTTTATGGGTAGCCCCGCCTCCTGCGGCAACCATTTTGTGACAGAACTCCAAAGGTGACCGCAGGCTCAAAAGGGTTGGGGACCCGTGCCCTAGCATAACACATTTTGTCACCCTCTGAAGCTGACGATGGCTCACGTCGCAGAAGGCGTTGGTAGGGGAAAGGAGGCCCAACATACGTTGTTTGTTCTTGTAGGAAGCCCGAGCCGTCTTGACGTTTGCTATCGACAGCACTGAGAAGAAGGTGTTGATGTCCAGCACGAAGGGGACTTGCTCTGTGGAAGAGGTGAGTCTGCAGGGTGAGCCCAAAAACCTATTGTTCTGCATGTCTGCTCTGCGGTCTTTAAATGTCAAAGTCTGCTTTAGCTATACTTGCACTGCTGTAGCTGTTGTTACAACAATATACCAATGTGCAGGAGGAGGAAATAGCATTGTTTTTCAAGTTTTATTTTACTATGTTCTGCAGTGCACCTTTCCCACTGGGGCTCAGGGCAGATTACACCCTGTCAAACTCTCGACAAAGGGGAAAAACAAAACCGAAGTCAGTGGAGGCAACTGTTGTTTCAGAACCTCTGACTGCTGTCAGATGAGACAGCTGTAAGTTCAGTCCGTTGAACTGAGGCCCTCCCTGTCAGTTTAGCTGCTGAGGTGTGGTCTAGAATGTTCACAAACATTCCAACTGCGATGAAGTGTTGTGGACCAAGAAGACAGAGCATCACTTGCCCCAGAGCCCCTAGCTATACCTTGTGGCTAATAGCCACTGATGGACCTCTGCTCCATATGCTTATCTAATTCCCTTTTGAAGCCGTCCATGCTTGTAGCCGCCACCACTTCCTGTGGCAGTGAATTCCATGTGTTAATCACTCTTTGGGTGAAGAAGTACTTCCTTTTATCCGTTCTAACCCGACCGATCAGCAATTTCATGGAGTGCCCACGAGTCCTTGTATTGTGAGAAAGGGAGAAAAGTACCTCTTTCTCTACCTGCTCTTTCCCATGCATAATCTTATAAACCTCAATCATGTCAGCCCTCAGTCGTCGTTTCTCCAAGCTAAAGAGCCCCAAGCGCTTTAACCTTTCCTCATAGGGAAAGTGTTCCAACCCTTTTATCATTCGAGTTGCCCTTTTCTGCACTTTTTCCAAAGCTATAATATCCTTTTTAAGGTGCGGTGCTCCTAAAAATGGGAGAGGGCGTAGCAGTTGTGTGGCCTACTTGCAGAGTTGTGCATAGAGTTGTTGCTTTGCAGCCTACTTGAGGAGCTGTGCATAGGGTAGCTATGCCTCACGCCGGCCCTGCGAGGAAAACAAATTGCTGACCCAGGACTGTATACTAGGAAGCATTTTGAAAAAGACATTTTAGACCATGCAGGTTGACCAAAACGGAACATGTCTTGCCGATCGTGTGTTGGATTCGTCCGGGGTGCAGTGCCTGTGGAACTTTGCCTTGGTGGGGACACCGCCAGCTCTCTTATCAGCCTGGAATTCCGACCCTCAGTTGGGAAGGTCTGTGTTTGTAAGGTGACCACACTGAGTAGACACCGAGTTGAGTACAGGGCATGGTATTCAGCATCCTTTGAAACCCACCTTCATTTTTTTAAAAAAAGGAAGCTGCTAGGTCTTAAGGTGACAATTGCAGTGAAAGTGAGTTAACGTTTTACAAAATTGTAAAAGTGTATTGGGGGAGAGAGAAAGGACACCAGTGGTCCAGGGATACGTGTTTTTCTTTTCCCTCCAATAAGCAGAAAATGAGGGTTGCCAACTCCTTCCTGGAACATTGTGAGCTACTGGCATTAAAGTTGTGAGCCAGCGATTTGGCTACTGCATAGATTAGTTTGTTCTGGAGCCATCCTTCCTGAGCTAAGAAGATATGTGAGCCTGAGCCGGAGGCTAAAAAACTGTGAGCTAGGCTTACACTAACTCAGCTTAGAGGGAACGCTGCTCTGCACCTGCCCAGGGACTCTTCAACCCATTCTCCATCACTTGCTGGGACTGAGCTCTCTGATGCTCAAAAGCAGAGGCCAGGGTTGATTCGTAGTACAAATCAAGCCCCTCGGGAAGTTACCTCGCTGGGCCCATCTGAGAAATGGTCCTATTGATTGCTGTAAAGGACCTTTGTGGGGGAAAGGATGTTTGAGAGTAGGGCTCGTTCCTCTGTGATCA